GAACATTTGAATGATTAGTCTAAGTTTCTCCATGATTTACACAGAAGTCATTATTGGTAACTAAATTATCTTATTTCTTGTGTGTTATAATGTTGATTCCCTCTGCTTCCAGTAGGTGGTGGTAAAACTATATTTTATTTGTTAGAATTTGAATTGATTTAACTGAAAAGATCACTCATTCAAACTGTAGAAATTAAGGGTAACAGTTGAATTCAATCTAATTTAAATTCTCTTCTCTCCCAATCCACGTGTGTAGTAGTTTTTGAGTACAGCCTAATCACTAGTTAGTCTCTCAGTTCATACAGATTTTTTGCAGGTATGTAATAGCAACTCATTTTAATGTTTTAATTTTAGTTTATTCGACTTGAATCAACATTTAAGGACTCCCGTGCTGCTGAAGAGAGAAAAAGAAAATCAGTGGTAAATATATTAATAGTGTGCTTCAGAATATTTACTTTAAAGAGGCATGTATCAGGAAAAGTACTATATTAGAAAGTGGGTCAGATTAGATCTACTGTCGGGTTTTGGCTGTGTTTCATTTCAAGTAGGAATAAGCATTTGCATATAGGAAAGAAAGTTTTCACTTATATATAATCTTCTGTTTTTAGGATGCCATTGGAGGAGAATCTATGCCTATTCCAACTATTGATACGTCACGCAAAAAGGTAACAGATAATCTTATTCGTAGGTAAAAACTCGTAGGTAATCTGATGTCTGACATTGTATGACTGGTGTGGGCTAAAAATAGTAAAGCCTCATGGAGGACAGCTTGAATTGCATCTTGGATATTTGGTATAAGAATTAGCTTAGACTTGGGCAAGTAATTATGAGGAGAGATTGCCTTTTGGGAAAATAGCAGAAACAATGAAAAAACCTTTTTTTCCATACATTTATTTTGTTAATGAGGTTTGACTATGAGAAAGTATTAGAATATGGACATGGAAAAACTAGTTGATTCTTGAATAGGATTGCAACATGATAGAAATGTTTTAGGAATATTTGTTTTCTAAGAGGCATGTATGCATGCTTGTGTGGGTGGGTGGGTAGGTGGTGGTGGTGGCAGTATGGGGAGATGTTGAAGATAAATGTATTTCAGAAAAATCAGACAGCCCTTGGTTCAGAAAGAATTTTCCCATTTAACATATTAACATTGTTACAGTGTACAGACAAGCAAACAATATAAACATGCTAAAGGAGGGAATGAAAATTGAAGCAACTCATGTAAAGAAAAAACAACTTCATCACTACCTTCCCGCAGAGATTCTTCAAAAGAAGAAAAAGGTGAGTTTGTAATCTTAACTCACTGATGTGGTTCCACTCAGACAAATGATCTGGGACTAAATTTGCATTCTTACAGCTCCCAAACCTATTAAGGAAATAAGGATGGGATACAGTCCAATCTAGGACTAAAATCTCATCTTCATTAATCACATGAGATAATTTGCTTATATGTATTTCAGAATTGAAACTAGTCTTTATATTCTCATTTGCTTTTTGAAATCCTAAAAGCTTTTTCCTCTTTCAGCAAAGTCTCTCTGATGTCAATCGAAGTTCAGGCGGACTTCCATCCAAAAGATCATCTCTGGATAGCAATTGTCTGGATAGCTCCAGAGACACTGATAATGGAACACCTTTTAATTCCCCAGTGTCTACAAACAAATCTTCCAAGCCTGATAACCCTCCTGCCGGAGAAGTGGAAAGGTTTGTATTTCAAATTTGTCCTTTCAGTCTTCTGTTTATTTGAGGATAATGTAAAGTTTTCTATACCTTTGCTAAATGCCTTTTTTAATTGTTAAAAGATTTTATTTTACAAGCTGCTAGTCAGTTTCTGTTTAGAAATGCCTAACAATTTGTGGACATCCCATCGGAGATGGTATAGGGTTATGAGCATATGGGATTAGATAAGTACACAGAAATGTACAAATTTTCTGCTTAAATTTTTCTCTTAATTCTCACTGGATCCTTTGCCTTTTTTCCCCCTTTTCCTTCAGTGCAATGTTAAAGTAGGAGTACTTGAAACAAGGTATTCCTAAATGGTATAATAAAAATGTTTTAAATAAGTAATATTTAAATCATTTAATGATGATAATTTATTCCCTTTTATTAGGAGTAGTGCTGAACCTACTGCTATAATTGTGGAGAAGCCACAGAGTGTCCCACCAGCACAAGGGCTGTCCATTCCAGTCATTGGTGCAAGTAGGTATCTAAACTTTTATTAATTATTCTACTACATAAATATTTAGTTATTAAAATCTTTTTCTTCCTTTTCAGAAGTTGACTCTACAGTAAAAGCTGTATCACCCCCAGCAGTGTGCACCATTCCTACTGTAGTAGGACGAAATGTCATTCCTAGAATTGCAACACCCCACAACCCTGCCCAGGGACAACCACATCTGAATGGAATGTCAAACATAACTAAGAATGTTACGCCCAAGAGATCCCATTCCCCATCCATAGATGGGTCTTCTAAGAG